CCCCGTAGCATCATGTGCTGCCCAGCTGCTATGTGTTTGGCTGCGCTGCTCCATGTGGGCTGCACCCGGGGGTGACTCTCCGGGGGGGCTGCTGGTGAGGAGTGGGCTGCAGGGGGGAGGCGGGGCTGGGGTGACGGTGTGCGTGCCCACAGAGAGGGCTCCGAGTGCCACCTCTGGCACTCGTGCCATAGGTTTGCCACCACTGGTATAAGGGCTCCTGCCTTGGACAGTGGGATGGACTAGAACAGGGGTAGGCAACCTTGGCTCTTTTGTGACTTGAAGTCCACGAGTCATAAAAGAGCCACGGTTGCCTGCCCCTGAACTAGAAGATCTTCAAGGTCCCTTCCAGCCCTATGATTCTGTGATCTAACCTATTTCCATTTTTCAAACAAGTAAAAACAGCTTGATACCCAAGCAAAATAGGAACTAAGAAATGGAAACCAAGGAGTAAGAGTAACAGAATTTGTCCTCACGCCCCAACCCGCACAATTAATGCTGCGGGGCGTGGGCAGAGGGCGTGGCCGCCATGGCACTGCTAGGCTGCCTGGGCGATCTGCAGCGGGCCCTGGAGTTGGTGAGCAGCCCTGCGGGCAGGCGGGGCAGGGCAGGGGCGGGACAGGGGATGGAGCAGGGGTGGGGCCAGTTTTTGGGCACTCAGTCTCTAAAAGATTCACCATCATTGTACTAGTATATCACATACCTCTGGATTAAAATCATATGATTAAATATCATCTGACTGGGGTGTTGGAAGAAAAGTCTTCATCGTGGTTCATCCAAGCTGGGAATAAACATGGCAACTGCTTTGGGAAGAAGGTTGTAGTTTATTGAAGAGGGGAGCCAGACAGAAAGATGGCTCTGGCAGAAAAAGGAAACTAGCACATGTAGGGAGTGGATTTTTATACCCTCTGGAGCCTTTTGTTTGGAGTTATTTCCTGTTCCTGTTTTGAGACTATTTCCTGTGTCATGTATTCTGACCTGAATTTGGGTGTGCCCTTTGTCCTTTGTGAGTTAATCCTACCATGTCCTGTCTCAGGTGGGGTATGCAGATTTTAGGTCTTTGTCTTCCTAATCTCCTAGCTCCAACTTTCCTGATGGTTTACATCTGCATTTGTACAGAGTTGGCTTCTGCTTGGGGGAGGCAAACCTGGGGCTATCAAGAAAAACTGGGCATGCTTTTCTGTCTCTTTAAGGTCCTTTGAGGAAATATACTGCTCAAAAAAATAAAGGGAACACAAACGTATAGGATCCTATGTTTGTGTTCCCTTTATTTTTTTGAGCAGTATATATTTTCCTGCCCTTTTAATATTTCCTTCTCTGGGGAGCTGATTTCCCACAGGGGAAAGCAGATGTACTTTCTTCTGCATATTCATATCAAAATCCTGGCGGGCAAAAGATATTTATTCATCAATAATAAATGGAGACCTGAGTTGCCTCTTGCAAATAAAATCTCAGTACTCTGGCTCCCTCTGCTGCTTATCTAAATCAATGTTTCTCAACCTTGTCAGTTTGAAGATGTGTGGACTTTAATTCCCAGAATTTCCCAGCCAGCCTCATTGACTGGGGAATTCTGGGAGTTGAAGGTCACACGTCAAGTTACCAAGCTTCAGAAACACATATGCTTATAACAGATGTGATACGTTCATAATGTTTCTAAAACAACTGATTGGATCTCTTGCAAAAGATAAGAAACTTTATTGTTATTTTTTACTGTGGGCACACTGGCACACATTAAAAATGAAATTCTATTGCCTGCTCTCAAAAGTGTACACATACATAACACACATATAAACATGCTATATACAACGTATGTATATACCTACACCCTTACATATAAATACATATAAATATGAATCACTGTCCATCTAGAATACACACAAGAAAGAGGAAGCACAAAGCCTCCTCCCAGAAGGTAACAAGGAAAACAGGTTGTGAAGAGGATGTGTAGGGTCCCAGACAATCTTGCGGACCCTGCTCAAGCAGCGCTTCTGTGCTATGTCCTGGATGGGAGGGAGGGAACTGCCAATGATCTTTTCAGCCATCCTCACCACTCTCTGCACCGCCTTCCTGTCTGAAGCAGTGATGCTTCCAAACCAGACTGTGATGCTGTATGACAAGATGCTCTCAATCGTCCCTCTGTAGAAAGTGGTCAAGACAGGGGAAGGAAGATGTGCTTTTCTCATGCGACGCAGAAAATGCAGGTGCTGCTGTGCCCGCTTCACCAGTGTCTTGCTGTTGAGCAACCAAACATTACCTGTTAAGTGTTTTTACCTACTTGTGTATTTCATCCCTTAATTCAGAACAGAGGAAGTTATCGGGACACTTTTTTACTCTCAACCGAACTCCGACATCTCACTATAGCATTGGCAGCTTAAAATCTTCTTCCATCACTGTACTTGTTCAACTGCCTTAATGCTGCTGAACAGGAAAATAGCAAGAGGCTCACCTGATTTTGCTGAAGGATGCTGATTTTTGAAATAATGCAATTGACTGGATCAGGTGCTGGCTCCATAAAGAGAACATCACGTTCAGAGTACAACATATGCTGTCAGGTTGTATGCTGTATTCCAGTTATGCCAAACAAGAGATTTGCTATAATAGACCACTGAATGCCTTCCTATAGACACTGTTGGACATGTTTTCCAATGGCAAAAAATAAACAATGGAGGATGACACTGTAACTCATTTTATCAAAGATCACTACTATTCATATATAGATCACACACACATATAAGGATATCCCTGGTAAGTGCAACTCAGTCAAGTAGTCACTCTTTATCCAAAGATCTGAAAGGTCTAAACTGAATTGACATATTTGTTTGTTTTTGTAATTCCAACCCATGATTTAATAAGCCATGTTTCCCCAAAACAGCCAGCAATGACTCAGTTCTCCTGAATTATTCAGCTATAAGGGTGGATTCAGACAATACATTAAATTAAATTATGGCTTAATGTAATGTGTGAAGCCTGCCAGTCACTCTCCTCCTGCTTCCCTTTTTATTTTTGCTTTGGTTTTTATTTATTTTATCCTACTTCTATTTTTACAAATAATTTACGAAGGCAAAATATCCAACATACCTTCCTCCTATTTTCCCCACAACAACCCTGTGAGGTGGGTTAGACAGAGAATGACTGGCCCAAAGTCACCCAGCTGGCTTTCATGGCTAAGGCAGGATTTGAACTCATGGTCTCTGGCTTTGTAACCTGGGGCCTTAATCTTTAGAACTGACATCTACATATTTCATTCAGTTAAATATTTACCTTGCTGACTGCAAGATTGTTGTGAAATCAGCTTTCTTGTATGTAAAATAAACTCAGGCATTCACAGCCAGCGAGACATTGAATTCACATTTCTGCAAAAAGATTAAAGACTATTCAATACACAGCGTGAACTCAAAAGTAGGATTGCTTCAGTCTTTCCCTCTCTTGGCTATAAAGATAATATATGATTGCACTTTATTTAGGGCAGAATAGAAGGAAGAATAGAAGGAGATATGGCTGGACCAAGGCTGGAATAGGGTGGTGTGCATCATCTTAGCACACTTGAAATAAATTTGTTAGAATCCCAAGGAAGCAGGAAATCCAAAATAAATGAAGACACTTAAAAAAAAAAGGTTAAATCATGTAACAGGAATTTACATTAGTTATTTTAGAGAGTGCTTGTGCATTGGGCTAGGTCAAATTTCTTACTACTGTATTGCTCTATCAGAGCAATTAAAATTGCATGTTAATTTTATTTGTAATTCTGTGGTAGTCAGAATAATGAACTGTACCATTTCTTATCTCATAAAATACTATGCTGTACAAGCATTCATTTGCAGCAGACCAGCACCATCTTGTGGTCTGCCTGAATATTGTTTTTTGTTTGTTTGCTTTGTTTTGTTTTGAATTTTTGATCTTGGTCAAAGTAATGGTAATTCTCTTTCTTATGTATTCTAAAGTTTACAAGAAAAGATTTTACATTTTATTTATTTATTTATTTTTAAATGATTGGCCTATCTCCCAAGGTGGAAAGTACAAGCTGAAACCATTAATCAGGTCTGTATAATAGAATGCAGTACTTATATCATTGCCGTTTTAAAATTTTTGTCACTTGAATCACCAGAAAAGCAGCATAAGTTGTGAGTTTACTTCTCACACACCTTGGGCTTAGAGAGGGCACCAAGTGAGATGCCCTGGAAGATAGGTAGCAATATTGAGAATTTCCAGGCCATTTACTTGGAAGAAGAGCAGCAGGGCCCCCAATTTGTGAATAAATGCGGGAGATTTCCATTCAACGGGCTCAATCATTCCACCACAAAGGCCTTGGAGGCTTAAAAACCATTCTGCCACATTTAGCTATTACGAAGAGTGCGGAACTACAGAAGGACATGAACAGGATATATAGCACAGTGGAAAACGCCTGGAATTAGGAATGAAATATCAGAATTCTCATTGTATAATTTGCAGCACAACGTGTACCTCTAACGCAAAATTTAGATGCCAGTAGTCCTCGACTTACGACCAGAATTGAGACCTGAATTTCCTTTGCTAAGCTAGGGGGTAGTTAAGTGAGTTGCACTTGATTTTATGTCCTTTTTAGCCACAGTTGTTCACCTGGTCACTGCAATTCTTTAGTGAATCAAATGGCTGTTAGGCGAATCCAAGTTCCCGTCTGAATTTGCTTGTAGGAAGCCAGCTGCGAAGGTCTCAGAAGGTGACCTTATAACCCTGGGACACTGCAACCATCGTAAATACATACCAGTTGCCAAGCACTCAGATTTTGATCACACAACTATGGGGAGATGCTGCAAGTCATTAAGTGTGAAGATCAGTCATAAGTCGTATTTTTCACTAAACAAATGATTGTAAGTCGAGGACTATCTGTACACATTTAAAAAAAAAATGAAAGAGAATCTGAGAATACAACATCAACATTTCCCAAGCTTTCTAGAACACCACGGCCTTCTCTTTTTACATGGTCCTCTCCAACATGAAAAAAAATAACTAGAAAGATTCAGGCAAAGCAAATAAAAATAAGGGCTTTATTCAAAATTAGTTGAACATCTCCTATACAATAAAAGTGAGCCCTGACAAATAAGTCATCCAATGGAAGAGAGGCTGTCCAATGATTAAAAAAAAATAAAAGTCCACGTTAAGACTGTAAGTGACCATCTTTGGGAAGATTTACTGGTTTTTGATCTTCAAACCTTAATAATCCTCCCATATTAAATCAGATTTAACATTCTCCATTTTATCTTCATTTGTCACAATGGTACCTTGTCACCGATTTGCGGAAATCTGGTTCTTACAAGGGGTTTTTCTCCTATGAAAAATTGAGGAAAACATACAAAGAAACATTTTATTGTTCCAACTAATCAAATCACTTGCCATCGTGATGCATACCAAGATCTGATATCCAACCTCCAGAGATAAACTGCTAAAATCTAACAGCCCTTGTCTAACACTTGGTGAGAACCGAAAGCTAAGCAAGTAGGCATAAAACAATTCACAATACGTGCCATATTTTGCTGCACATCATTAGAGCTATGGGCAAAGCATTGGTAAGGTGGTGGTGAGGGGTCTTTATTTCTCAGCCATAGGTTTGGCCTTCCCTTGATCTTCCACTTTCTTGATGGCAGCTTGTATGGCTTCTTGGTCACCCAGAAATTGGTGCTGGCCAAGCGGTTGCAGGTTTTCATCCAGTTCAAGGAGGACCGGCACGCCGGTGGGAAGAGTCACGTTGACTATAGCCTCATCCGAGATGCCTGCAGGGAAGAAGGAACAAAGTTACTGTCACTATCTTACACTGGTTGTAGGTAAGCTTTAGCTCATGAAATATAATGCCAGGAAGGTCTTCGATTTGGCAAAAAAAAAAAAAATGCACTTTTCATTTTAAAACGTTTTAAATTAAACCACATGAATGTCTATGGAGACCCTCAGTCATCCGGGTCATGGTTGTCCCAAAGGTGCTTTTTCAAAAGGCAACTGGATTTTGTTTCCTTGAAGATGTTTCACTTCTCATCCAAGAAGCTTCTTTTGTTCTTCAGAACTATATAACGCCTGATCTCCAACTCCAACGTATAACAAACATTTTGACATGTAAAGAAAGTAAAAAATAAACAAAGCCACCATAGATAATCTCTCACCTAACCAATGTGTTTCCTTCTTGGATCTAAGATTCATGCTGGACCCACCCAAGGTTCCAGTTTTCAAGAGACCCATCCAGATATTTCTAAGTCCACAAAGCAAGAGACCGTGTTGCCTCGGTATTTACCAACTTCCTAGACACATGTATACATGCATATATCCACAAACACAACAAAGCAACCAGTTGTTGCAACGAATATTCTACCTAAATTAAACCACCTTCCCTTAAAAGAAAATAAATCATGCCTTATGTTGTTGAGTTCCCTGAATTATGGATGCATAACACCCTCCATGGCCCTTCTCCAATCCTAGACAATGCATCTGGTCTGGCATCCCTGGGGTTCTTCTTGTCCTTAATGCCTGCCTCTTTTTCTTTAAAGAAGTTTTCTCTGCCCAAACATTTCAGGACAGAATCAAAGAAATAATAAGACTTTCAACAATGGTTCTACTTTAAGAGTCAGAACTTGGTGAAAAGAGGAAAAAGAAAGAGGGGGGAAAAAAAACTGTGTTAATCTTCCTGTACCAACAAAAGCTACGTACACGTTACAGCTGAAAGTTACAAACTTTGTCCCAAATGCTAACAGTTGTTTAGGAGACCCAGAACAGCTGAGAAACATCCGTCTTTATTTGACATGCTAAACAGGACAAGCAGCAGGAAAACCAGCTGGCAGCTGAGTAGATGGGGAAATTTCTCAGAGATGCCTGGAAAATGAGTTTGCATTATGAGAGCGTGGAAGCCTGGTAAAATTCATTAATTTGTTCAAGCTAGTCCAACTTGAGAGCAAAGTCCAGTGAAACTAGAGGGATGACCGTATGGAGGTTGAGCAAAGTACGTAGGAATTGAATAATAACAAAATAGATCAACTTTTTTTTAATCCAAGACTAAAAACATGCTTAAGCAGCCAACTTACCCTGTAAAATTGATGGAGTTATTTTTTTTAAGGAGACTTAACTGCTCTCACTAAGCATTCCAAAACTGCTAAGAAAAATAACTAAATGAATCCGAAATTGCTCGTCTCTGTAGATATGCAACAATCTTTTTTTTCCAAACAATTTTATTGATTTTTCCATTTTTGCACCAAGAAGCTTAAGAACCAACGTGGAGATAGGGTAATCAGTTAAATACAATAACATCCTAAATGTACAGCTCAAATAATACTCCTTAAAATTTCCTTCTCTATCAATTAGAATAATATAGTCAAATTAATACATTTCTAAATAAAGTTCATTCATGAATACATTCCTAAATAAAAATCCCATTAATCAATAAAAGTTATCAGCAACCCATTACCTATATAAATCAAAATCCTGTTTTCAGCTATTATTAATTTCCAAATACCATAGATATGCAAAAATCTTAATTAACGGCTCCCTGATCTCAACAATTTGGAAAGAGCCAATGATAATCATCTTCCGAACTGCTGCAAAGAAAACTTAAGTAACATCTATAAAGTCATCAGGAGTCTTATTTTTTATTGATTTTATGATCTTAGTTTAGCCAACTTGCATCATATCACACACCAAACTCTGCATATGCCAAATGAATGTTTATCACTTTCACAACAAGAAACATATTTCTTTCCTGTTTATAAAAGTGACTTTACTAGGTAGCCCAAAGAAATAAATAATACTCAACACAGCAGCTTTCCCCCCCAACCAGGATTCCTAGAGTAGCTACTGCTAGGAATTCTGGGAAATGCAGTCTGCATATTTAGAGGACACTCAGCATGGGAAAAACTGCATTATAGACCACTGAAGAAGTGATAATATAGAAAAGTACATAATGATAAGTGGCCACTGGCCAATCAGGAAAAGTAGGCCAGCCGCTGTTGTGCAAAGCAAACTAAAAGGGCATTACAAATTATTCCTGTTACAATAGGATGCAGGTACAACTTCTTAGTGAGTCATATTTGTACTTTCACTTAGAAGAGGGAGTTACAGCTATATCTTTATTTTCCCAAAGTAACACAATCTTTAAAAAAAAAATCACAGGAGTTTTACATAGGAAATGTTCTTCAACTTGATATGGATCCAGATGTGTCCCAACTACAGCCATATCAAATCCATCCAGCATATTCAAAAGATATTAGTTTTGTGCAGGGGTAGACAACCTTGGCTCTTTTATGACTCGTGGACTTCAACTCCCAGAATTCCTGAGCCAGCCATGCTGAGGGGAAAGGGAGAGGTTTCCAAGCTGAGCCATGCTGGCTCAGGAATCCTGGGAGTTGAAGTCCATGAGTCATAAAAGAGCCAAGGTTGCCTACCTCTGTGTTATAGGCTCACATATCTGGGAAACATTCATTTACACAAGTGTTTCTTTCAGATTTGTTTAAAAAATAGTGGGAGATTCAAAATATGAAAGAGATTGGAAGATGGGTGATTTAGAACTGTTCTTACCTCCATGAGTGATCACTAGGGATGTGGTGAACTGTTGGTGCAAACCATAAATGTCAACTAAAGTCAGTGTCCAATTACTTCAAATACTTGTAACATTAACTAGTTGACCTTTCTACATCCATCTACATTACAAAAAAGAGGTTGAGACCTTGGAAAAGTGCAGAGAACAGCAACTTAGATGATTAAAGGCCTGGAGATTAAAACGTATGAAGAACAGTTGCAGAATTTGGGTTTGGCTAGTCTAGAGAAAAGAATGACTAGGGATGACATGATAGCAGTATTCCAGTATTTGAGAAGCTGTCACAAAGACGAGCAAGTAAATTTATTTTCCAAAGCACCAGAGGGCAGGACAAGAAATAATGGATGGAAACTAATCAAGGAGAGAAGAAACCTGGAATTAAGGAGAAACTTCCTAACAGTGAGGACAATTAACCAGTGGAACAGTTTTGCCTCCAGAAATCGTGGGTGCTTCATCACTGGAAATTTTTAAGAAGAGACTGGACAGCCACTTGTCTGAAATGGTATAGAGTCTCCTGCTTGAACAGGGAGCTAGACTAGAAGACCTCCAAGGTCCCTGTCCGCTCTATTCTGATTGATAGTCTGGCTGACTGACTGATATCTTTGCATTATATGAATGGTTCTCAACCTGTGGGTCGGGACCCCATTTGGGGTCGAACGACCATTTCACGGGGGTCGCCAAACAACGCAGTCCGCCATTTCCCCCCCCCCTTTTCCGTAGCTGTGCTACTCCCTTTTATTCTATTGGCTTTTGAAAGCCAATAGAATAGACTCTCTTGAATAGAGTCTAATTCTATTGGCTTTCAAAAGCCAATAGGAATTGTCCAGGTTGTCGCTGCCATGCTGAGCCCACCAAAAGTCCCAGTCTGCAAATGGTGCTGCACCAGTTGAGTAGTCCTCGACTTACGACCGGTTGAGTAGTCCTCGACTTACGACCGGTTGGGGGTCGCGGCATTAAAAAGGTTGAGAACCACTGCATTATATAATCCCAGCACTTATTCAACTAAACTGAATAAAGCACCACTAGTCAGATGCAACAAGGAATCATATATAAGTAATCCTTGACTTACAACCATTGCTTTAACAACCATTCAAATTCATGACAGCAATGATAAAAAGGGATTTATGACCAGTTTTCACACATACAACTCTCATAGCATCTCATGATCAAAATTTGGCCGCTTGTCAACTAGAATGTATTTGTGATGTTTGCAGCATCCCAGGGTCATATGATTCTGCCCAGTGATTTCAGGACATCCCATCTGAAAATCTTGAATATTTGCTATTTATTGTACTATTTCTGTGGATGTTTTTAATAATCACAGTTTCAACTGCTCCTCAAATTGTTTATGGATTAATAAAACTGTATTAACTAAAAGCATCACTTTTTAAATCTCACATTAAAACTGACACACAGATGGTTAAAACTCCCAATTTATGAGGAAAGAAATATATGGCAAAATCAGCATCATTTGAGGAGTGATATATTTGTTTACATATATTTTAAATTACTTTGAGAGACCAAATATTTGAAAAAAAAATGCAGAAGGCCCTCAAATTATGGCCACAACTGAGCCCAAAATTTCCGTTGCTAAGCAAGAGAGTTAAGTGAGTTGTGCCCCATTTTATGAATTTTTTCACCAGAGTTTTTAAGAAAACCACTGAAGTTGTTAAGTGAATCATGCAGTTGTTAAGCAAAACTTGACTATGCTTATGGGAAGCCAGCTGGGCAGGTTACAAATGGCAATCAAATGACCGCAAGACACTGCAACTGTCATAAATACATGCCAGCTGCTAAGGATCTGAATTTTGATCACGTGTGAAAACTAGTCATAAGTCATTTTTTTCAGGGCTGCTGTAACTTCAAATGGTTACTAAACAAATGGTCGTAAGTCAAGGAGTACCCGTACAGGAAAGACAAATTCCTAGATCAGTGGTTCTCAACTTTTTAATGCCGTGACCCCCAACCGGTCGTAAGTTGAGGACTACTCAACCGGTCGTAAGTCAAGGACTACTCAACTGGTGCAGCACCGTTTGCAGAATGGGACTTTTGGTGGGCTCAGCAGGGCAGAGACAGCCTGGACAATTCATATTGGCTTTTGAAAGCCAATAGAATTAGACTCTATTCAAGAGAGTCTATTCTATTGGCTTTCAAAAGCCAATAGAATAAAAGGGAGTAGCACGGCTAAGCAAAAGGGGAAAA